ACTCCTTAAGCCCCATAATGATATTGTCAAATATGATTATTGGCTTTTATTTTTTGCAAATGATATCAAATCCCATTTGGTTCGGTGTTGTTATAAACTAAGAATGAGTTTGAGCTCCCAAGTCGGCCATCAACAACCTCTCAATTATATTAATTTGGTTTTGCATACAAAAAGTGACAATTTAAAAGAGCCTTTAAAATTATTTGCATTAATTTTAAGTTGATTTTTGTTCAATTGTGTGCAATACTTTATATCTTATCTAAAAATTATTTGACTTATATTGATCATAGACAAATGCATCATCAATGCTCTCAGTAGAATATAACAGACTAATTACCTCTCTGACACTCCTTTCATCTCACTAATACATTCAATTGAGTTTGGAAGATGGAATCAATGATTAGATAATGAAGGAAAATAACCCATGCTTGATCAATTAAATAATAAAACTATACACAACTAAGTGAAATAACCCAAGCTTGATCTTGAAAAAAAGGACCTTAAATAGATCTTAAATAAAAATGTCGAGGACGGAGAGCGAGTGAAGATGGCTTCAAAAAATATCCTAGTGACTTGATCCACCTTTACTCAAATAAACAATTCCTCTCGAGCTGTGAGCAAAGATGGCTTTGAAATATTGCCAAAGATGGTTGTGAGCGAGTTCGTGTTATAGGACAGGAAACTTGAAGGTAAAAATGAATGAGCATTTACTTCTTTTAGGGAAACTATGTAATTAATTAGAGTTCTTGTTACTTATTTTACTCATTCGATCTCCCTTGGATGGCTCATATTTACTAAAATAAAAATAGGGCGATTCATTCAAATATGGTTAGTTCACTGGTTTAGCCAAAAATTTATTTTGTTTTTCATCGGTTGCCCATAGAATGATTTTATTATTAGAAGCAGACTGATTTGGTTGAACTAGTTAAATGGCCTGTCCAATTCATTTTTTAAAATCATGTGTTACCATGTACAAGAGGATAAGCCAATAGTCTTTTCTTTTAATAAAGTTTATGGTGTAATTCTAAGAAAGTGAAAAGGGAGGTATACAGATGATATGCTAACAAGCAGGAAGTGATGACTTCTTACATGTCAGCCACAAGACTTGTGATATAAGATATCGGACAAATTCCTAAAAATACGACTTATATGGTTGCAACTAATTCCTATAGGATTAGATATAGAGAAAAATATCACAGGTAGCTAAATGTCCTACATTGTTTACATTGCGTACATATACATATGATATTAACTTACATGATAAATTACATAAGTGACATGATATGATACGATATGCATATGATATAGGAAATGATTGATACAACACACACATGATATGATTGATAAGATTGATATAATAGCATATGATATACATTTACTACATAATATACAAGATATATAGTGCATATGATATTGATGTTGTATGATATGCATACACATACAGGCCGGCTTACGACATTATAAATAAGGCTAATACAATTGATAAGACTGATATATAATACATTAATTTTGATAGGAACATGATATACATACATATGATAAATGTAGCATAATGAATATTCTTTTAATGAAATGTGTACAAATTTACATAAAATAAAATATAGACCATCTTTTAACTAATGGGTATAATAAATGATAGAATGTAATGATCCTGTATATGAATACTAATTAGTAAATCTGAATTATATTGCTTTTAATGATTTCCATTATTCATATGAAATGACACCATACATATTGTTTACAACATGTTTTCATAGTTACATTTTCATACTGACATTGATTATATGCATACTATTTTATTGTCTGTGTTGATTGTAGTTTTAAGTTTTAATAATATTATAAGTTGTTAACTCATTATGTGATTTTCTTATATATTTTAGAAAGGAGTCAAGATCCAGTGGAGTGAGGCTGACAAGAATTTTTAGGTTTTATTTTAATTTTAGTTTTTTTATTTTATTCTTTTGTAGTTAGTAGATTAGTGAGATAAAATGAAGTATTAATTGAACTTCTGGCTATTATATATAATTTTGGGAAATGGATAAATTGTAAATTGAATAAAAGAATTTATAGTTGCTTCTAATGGTTTCTATTTATTAAAATGAGATTACTATGGTAAATTAATTAAGAGCTTGAAATAGATAATTCTTTTAAAAATGAATATTGGGGCATCACAGGAGGACCATAGTTAGACGATGGTGGTATGAAAATCATAGTTGAATCATAATATTTAGACGGAATATATTCGAATGATATAGGTCAAAATAATCATAGTTGGGCGATGATGGTTAGAAGGATATATGATGGTAGTCGAGCAACTGTGATTAGAGGATCAAAGTTGGGCAGTTATGATGATGGTCGAAGTTGGGTGATATTGGTTAGAGGATTGTAGTCTTGCAACGATGGTCAAGAGGATCATATCCCAATAAATATGTCAAAGTAGGACTGTAATTAGGCGACTATGGTTAGGAGTACCATAGTCAGGCAACGGTGGTCCAATGACTATATAACAGTGATGGTGATCATGTGATATTATAATATTGGGGTTGAAATGGCTCAATAGCAACATCAAGTGAAGTTCTGATGGTGACAATCAATCGATAACCCAAAGTCGACATCAAATGGTTTTTTGATAATGATGTTTTGGTGATGGTCTGATGGTAGCATACGGGTGTTGGTCTGACGATGGTGTCCGGTAGTTGTTTGGCGACACCGTTGGGCAGTTGTTCGATGTCGACAATCGAACGTTGGTCGAACCATGAAGATTATATGTTTTAATGGTGATGATAAATGGACATTGGTTTAAAAATGGTGCTCAGGTGGTGTTTCAGGATCTTTTAAGCCTTAAAACTCTCTAAATCTCAATCCAAGGTTCAAGTCGAGAGTGGGGACCTATTTATAAGTTTTTTAATTGTAGTATGCCTCATAAATATTAAAAACATTTTGAATCACTCCATCATATTATTAATATTGATTCCCTTGGTTATGAATCATTCATTCATCATTTAAGAGCCTTAATCATATCATACTTAAGCAATCATATGCTCATTGGATTTGTTTCATTGAGATGATCAGTTTGACTATAAGCATGTCAAATTTAGAAATGACATGATCATTCAATTAATATTATGAAGTTTTAACTATGCTTTAAGTGCTCAATCTCGGCTTATTCAAACTTAGATTAGACCACATTTATTATCGTTGGCTTTGTCTGGTTGAGAAATTCCATTTGATGAAATTAAAATTCGGATGGTCATGAATTTAATTTTTAAAGTTTTTAATTCAAATCTGCATCGAGGAATGTGTCAATAAAGATAATTTTTTTATGACATATTAATAATGTAGGCAACAAAATTAAAAAAATAAGAACAAAGAACACTAAAAGATAAATTTTAATGATGGGTTTGTGACATTAGAAAAATGTCTTACAACCAAAGCATGAAATCACTCACATCAAGTCGTTAGACCATCGTTTGTTCCTTCTCTAACAGTTGAGGCACAATTGTTGTCCTTCTCTCATTGAGCATGCAAGGCATCATAGAGAGAAATATTAAAGAAATTATTATGTCTTTCTTAGTATCTAAGGAGTTCGGTAATCTCACAATTGAATGACATGCGATGAGCAATAAAATGATGGATTGGAGGTTTTATGGTGTAAATGAACTGATCATGAGGTCTATTTGCTTTTAATTGTATTAGAAATGATATATATGTATTGTATTTGTCTATTAGTTTGTCCATGGAGCAATTGACATGAAACCCTATATTTTCAAACTGAAATCGGGTTATATGTTACTTAGTAGCTTTGCTATTTTGTCCTATGAATTTGATGCTGTTAAACCTTTGAATCATTGGATATGGTCTTGTGGAGCAATGTATAGCTTCATATATGTGTTATCGCTCAAATTTCTTTTTGGAATGGCCGAGCAATGAGAAGTAAACCCTCTCAAAGGAAATCATTTGCAACTATGTTACATTTGTGTTATCTTTGATTGAGCATATAGCCATATACTACTAATTGAACATATGCTAATTTAGCAAACACAAATTGTTGCCTTGGATGACAATACTGAAATGCACTGATATTTTTTTGAGTTGATAGCTTTTTTTGAGGGACAACCTAAGCCTTGCAATTGAAATCTTTTTCGAACTCACAATATTTAGAAAATTATGAATATTTTTTTTGCTAATTATTATATTTTTTAGGATGAAATTGTAATTGAAGAGAATAACTATGACCTTATTGGAGAAGTACACCAATAAAGCTTATATGTTTATTAACTTATAATTAAATAATTAAAATTTTGATTTGTAAAAGTATATTTGTAACAAATATGAACTTTGTTTACCATTTTTATTATTTGAAACCATATTATCTTCTAAATTTTGTATTTTTATTTGATGTTTATTTGCAAAAAAATCAAATATTTTATGAATCAGAGAGAAAAAAAATTAAATCCAAATGGGACGGCGTGTTGGGTCAGGTCGGCCTAGGTTAGACTGGGGTCGTGTTTGGCGAATTGACTTTGTTTGCAATTCGTGTTGGGTTCTAATTAGGGAACAATTATTAGGTCCTCCGACCGGACGTAGAGCTATGTCGGTCGGAGCTAAAATCGCACCAAAAAACGAGAAATACCGAGCAATATCAAACAATAACGAGGAATACCATCATGTGAAAACCCAATACCGAGTTATACCGAGCTATACCGAGTTATACAAAAAAATACCGAGTTTTTTCTAAACTCGTTATTTTTTGTATAACTCCGTATTGCTCGGTATAACTCGGTATTGGTCTTCATAGAGCGGTATTCCTCATTATTACCTAATAATACCTAGCAATACCAAGCAAAATACCGAGTTTTTTGGCGGGATTTTAATGCTGTTCGGATGTTCTTTTACGTCCGATCGGAGGACGTGATAATTGTTCCTAATTAGGGGGTTCAAATACAGATAAAATTCGGATTGTATCTGACTTGAAAACTCATTTTGATACATTAGAAAGATTGAATGATTATTTTGAAAATTTATTCTCCTATAAATTCTATAATTTCAATGTGAAACGCGATTTGTAGAAGGTGCAAGCATGTTTTGGCTGTGGATCCACTCGCTGGATTCGCCTTCCATGAAGGAGGAAGGCTTCGCCGGCGTAAGCTCCGCCCACCGGCAGCCGCCGGGATCTACCTTTCACGGTGACTCCACAGCGATGAGCAGCAGCCTAAGTCCTAATGCTAAACCTAGAATTCAAGTACTACACGGAATCGTTCACCTCTACCGCAGACCCCTACCGCTCTCTTCTTCCTCTTCCACTTTTCCCTCTTCCTCCTCATTTCCTCCCTCCTCCTCTGACTCTTTCCTTCCGGTTCGTCCTTCCCTGCTTTATTCCTTTACTATCTGCTCCTTTTTTTTTTTTGCATTCTTCTCATCCACAACTCTTGCTCTCTTTAGGCGAGTCGTGGAATGCTCCTCTTCGTCCTTGCCGTTCCTAGTCATCTCTCGCCAGAGGATTTCCTTCGTTTCTGCGGCTCCTATGCCGACTGTTCGGCAGGGATCCAGGTCATTAGGTAAAATTTCGAGGTTTCATTCTTCGGCGCGGGGGGTGGGTGGGGGGGTGATGGAATGCACGCTCAGTTGGGAAGTCGATGAAAAATTACATTGTTTTCTTTGTTTCAGGAACGACGGAATGGAGGACCGGTACAGCGTTCTGGTTAACTTCGAAGATCAGAAGAGCGCTGATGCATTCTATCTCAATCTAAATGGGTGGAAATTCTCTTCAGTTGAGGTAGTTAATCAGTAAACGGTTCGTTTATTTTATTCCGATGACTTGTTTATTGTTGTGAGGGTTTCAGTCTTGGCAGTGAATGCAGGGGGAGATTTGCCATATTCTGTTTCTAGCTTCTCTGGAGTTCACTGAGTCGGCAGAGATTGCCTGTACTCCTCCGCTTGGATCCACTGAACTACCAACTTGTCCTGTCTGCATAGGTGAATTTTTTTTCTGTGAATTTTTCTGTTATGGAAAGAGGAATATTTTGCATTTGATTTTCTATTCTCATTTTTTAATTTCTTTCTAAGGTTCTTTCTATGTTGCTTTGCCTTACATTATGGTTTTTCTTAGAGGTAAATTCGGGGAATATTTATGAAAGAAAATTAGCTCATGATATCCTTATTAAAATTTTTATTAGGATGAATCTCAAAGCTATTAGATTTGCTTTGAGATAAGCGGAATACATGAGGTATCAATCAAAATTTATCATTTAAAACAAATTTAATGGGTTTGAGATTCATTTTAAAATTTGGTAAGATATTTTGAACTAAATATTTTCCTATATTTACCATATAAATTGTACAGAGCATCATTGACTGTGGCACAAGTTTTACAATTGGTTGTTAATCCAATATTAACCTAAACTATTTCATTTGATCTCAAAACCATCAATGATGGTTTTAGTAGAAGGCATTCTTATCATAATTTACCTTTATGATGTGATAATGCGATTAGCAAAAGTTCTGATTTGGACTAGAAGGCATCCTCATTTTTGTATTTAGTAACATAGCATGGAATGTTAATGAAACTACTAAAACCATAATTGAGGCTCTTATTATTTTCCTTCAAAACCATTTGTTGGATGACTAAATGTGAGGCATTTAAGGGAAAAATTAAATGAAAAAAAAACTATGGTGTTTCTACAATTATCTGTTTTCCTTCTGTGGATAATTTATTTATATTTGTTATCATAGTTTGGTGATTCATATTGAAATTCTTAATATACAGGCATCCTCTCCGATAATACAATCTCTTTGAACTCTTTTTTCAGCTTTCTTGGTAGTTTAATTGACACGTGTACTCATCTTATATTCAATTATTTAGAAAGGTTAGACCAGGAGATAACTGGCATCACGTCCACTACTTGTGATCATTCCTTCCAGTGCTCATGCATATTAAAGTGGGCCAACTCTTCCTGTTCGGTAAGCATACTTCATCTAACATCCTCTATTAGTTACCTGATTATTTATTTATTCATTGTCATCATGTATTCATGTGATTTCCAATTATTTTAGCTACCACAATTGCCCTTAAAGTATTACCATTTGATGTTCTTTTTAGGTTATTTAGTTTTTTTATGGTTTATTTTTTAACCAGTTTTGTATATTCGAGATAATTAGTCAATGATATGTTTTGTAAATGCTATTGCTCATGAAGTGATTATTGTTGATTTTTGGGGATACCAGATGTGATTCCTAATTGATAAAGGCCTCGTTTAATTCCCCGGCTCTATTTTCTCGTTTTTAACGGAGTTTTCAGAACGGAAAATGGAGAAAAAATTTTCTTCTCAAATCGGCGGAAATACGGAGATTCACCGGACATTATTTTGAAGAAGCGGTGTTACCAAACAGCAAAACAATCCTTTTTTCCCGATTCAAACCGCAGACGGAGAAATTACGGAGAACAAACGAGGCCAAAGTCATAGAAATAAGATTGTGAAAACCGGACTGATAATGAACCGGAAGAAGAAGAGGTTCATAGTTCGACCAGTTTGACTGGGGTCTGAACTGATCTAACTAGATGACGTAATAAATACTAATATTACTAAAACTTAATAAAATTAATATAATAATATAATAATCTAACCTTATATATGTAGAAATATATAGTGTATTTATAGTGAACTTGAGAACTTCACCTTAGTGGTTTAGTCTTACATCACCTAGACATTATATGTTAGCATTGTTTTTGTCTATATAAGTTTTTTGATTCACATGGAAAAATAAGTCACATGATAAGTTGGGCTATGTGACAAAGCATAATTGATAAAGCATTGTTGATGCCTTAAATAAAAAAATTAAATTAACTTATAAAGTGTATTTAATAATAAATTTATTAAATTATTTCGTTTAATTAAATACAAGCCGAATCGGTTCAAATTCAGTTGGGCTTAAACCGCCCGGTTTTCGGCTCCGATTCTCTGGTTCGCCGGTTCGACCAGTTCTCGGGCGGTTCAATGCTATTCCAGTTTTATGCCTAGATTGAATTGGCCGTCTAGCCGGTTCCTTGTTGAACCAGTTGAACCGGTCAATCTGGTCCGATTTTAATAACCTTGGAAATTTCCCTAGAGTTAATGATGATTGGGTGGCTTGTGGCTAGTTGAGTTTAGCAATCCAAAAATATCAGATCTCTTATGATTGAATTGCAGATTCTCAATTTGTGTCAAGTTGACGCTAATTAAATAGAGAGGGTGAGAGGTTGATGTCACATTGATTTACAGGAGATGGAGAGTAGCTCTTATGGTTGCGTCAATTGAGAAGATGTTCTTGCTTGGCTTGGAGAGAGGAGGTTTTTTTGCTTCTCATGGTAGGAGAAAAAAAGGAAAGTTGACAAAGTCCATGCTAGTTTAGTGAGAGCCGGAGAGCTTGAATTGTTAATTAAAATTGTCCTATATTTTCTTTGTAGTAAATGCCATCACAATATCTTTTGGTTCATGAAAGTGAAAACTAACTAGAAATATTATAAAAGGAACTATGTTTGCTAATTAAGAAGGGCATTTGGATAATATAGTAATATCGTAAGGACATCCTTGATATCATACTTGATAACATCTTACTAATCAAGGAATGATATGGAATATTACAATTTCTTTTAAAACAAAATCTATGTTGTTAAATCTCAGCCTTCCGTTGCGAAACTGATCTCACGACCATGAACAGTGATCCGTGGGAAGCCCGCCTAGATTACATTGAATACCTCCCATAACTAGACATCTGATTTAGGAATGATTTTATTTCAACAATTATTTTGTAGTTATTTGTTTCTTTATTAGACCTTGTATAGATCTATAAACAGGGAGCATATTGTATAATAAAGTAAGCTTTTTTATCTCCAATTCTCTGAATGTAACATGGTATCAGAGCCGAAGGAATTGAAGAAGAGGCCTTCATTGCCATTAAAAGAACCATCGTAGATCGTCGGAGGAGGAAAATAAGAAGTCAGAACCTACCTACAGACAAAGCTTGGCAAACTAACGACAGATGGGGCCTTGACAAAAGCCGCAAGCTACAGACGAAGCCTTGCTAGAGACGGAGCCGAAGCCCTGATCCAAACTTCCAATCTGATAGGAAGGGCAAGTCGTTGAAGGAGGATAGTCGAACAGCCACGAACGAGCTGAAGAGGCGACCGTGAAGCAACGAAGCCGAACGAGACTCCCGCTCAGAGGAGCCTGGCCCGTTCCCTATTTTGATCCAAGCCTTTTAAAGGCTAAGTTTGGTTCGGTTTATTAAACCGGGGAAAAAATGTTTTTTTTTGGAAGCCTTCATTGCTACCCATTGTCAGAAATTAATTCCTCCTAGAGCATTGATCAAACCGAGGAGTTGATGGTGCACCAATGACCAGGTGATCTCCAAAGCATGCAACATTCCTATCGTCTCAAAAGGAAGAATTAGCTAAAGTGGTCTCAATTTGTGAAGATCTATTTAAAAGGGAAAGGAAAAATACACCATATTCTCGAAGGAGGACCAAGACAAGGAGATCATGCTTTTGGGGGATGGGATGAAACAGACTCCATGATCATGTTATGATTGTGGAATTCCATGACTCCAGAAATTAGCGATACATTTATATTCATTTCAACTACAAATGACATATGGGATGCTGCCGGACATACCTTCTCCAAAGCTCGTGATGCGGCTCAAATCTTTGAAATTAAAGTCAAAGTTGGAAGCACAAAGCAGGGGAGTAAGACCGTGATGGAGTATGCCACCCCTCTATAAAATTTGTGGAAAGAACTTGATCATTATAGATGTGAAACCAGATATTTGGAAGATGCTGCGATCCTAAAGAATTTTATTGAAAAAGATAGAGTTTATAATTTTCTTGAAGGACTAAATGCAGAATTTGACCAAGTTAGAGTCTAGATCCTTAGCAAAGAGGAGATGCCATCACTCAATGAAACAATTTCCTCATCCGCGCAGAAGAAAGCTGACGAGGAGTGATGTTAGAACCAAAGGTCGTTAAAAGTTCAGCAATGGTGATGAACTAAGAATCGTCATGGAAGAAGAAAGGTAAAGATTCTTCAAAATTCAAAGACAATGACTCACTTTGGTGTAGTTATTGCAAAAATTCAAGACACACAAAGTAAACGTGCTGGAAAATCATGAAAAATCTCCCAACAAGGAGTGGAATAAAAAAGGTGAAACAAGGAGTACATCACATGCCAATAACACTACAAGTAAGCTCAGCCTAGAAGCATAGTCCAGCCTTGGAGAACTCAATAAAGAGGATATTGATAAACTTAAACGACTCCTGGTATCTCTTGAAAAATCAAATACATCATCTTCACTTCCACTCTCAGGTAAGACTCTAATTCTATTAGTTTAAGTGATTCTAGAAATCATTTAAAGGAATTATGAATCATTGATTCAGGAGCCACAAATCATATGACCCACTCACCTACCCACTTCATTAACTATGCTCCTTGCCCAAACAACAAGAAAATCATCATTGCTGATGATTTTCTTACCACGGTAGCAGGCCAAGGAGACATAAGATTATCTCTCTCACTCACCCTGAATGCACTAGAGTCTCTTGGATCTATCTCCTTAAAAATAAATCTGATGTTAGCACCATTCTTCCCATCTTTTATACTATGATTAAAAACCAATTCGGGGTATAAATAAGGAGATTTTGCTCTGATAATACTAAAGATTATTTCAACTAAACCCTTTCTTCCTACTTCCAGAGTGAAGCGATCATTCATGAGTCCTCCTGTGTTCACACCCCACAACAAAATGGGGTTGCAAAGAGAAAAAATGGCCACCATCTAGCCTCCACCCGAGCTTTTCTATTTCACTACAATACACCCAAATCCTATTGGGGGGAAGCCCTCTTAACTATGACTTATCTTATAAAATGACTACCTTCAACAACCCTAGAACTCAACACTCAAATGGAGATTTTGTCTTCTTTTTACCCCGAGTTTCGAGCCCATCATAATCTTACACCCAGAATCTTTGGGTGCACTGCTTATGCTCATATTCATAGCCAAGATAGAGGAAAATTAGATCCAAAAGCACTCAAATACATCTTTGTTGGCTATTCAGCTACTCAAAAAGGTTATAAGTGTTATCATCCACCCACAAGAAAAATCTTTGTCTTTATTGATGTTACCTTTGATGAGCAAAATTCCTATTTTTTAAAATCTCATCTTCAGCGGGAGACTGAACTTGAGGAAGATGAGGAAAATGAACTAGCACCTCTTGACCTTCCTCCACCATCTCAAACCAATCCACCTGAAACCTAGGATAGGTAAACTAATAACAAAGCGGTCATTAGATTTGGGAAGGTTTACTCCAGGCGTACAAGTTCAAATTGTGCTCCAAAGCAGATCCAAGAATCTAAACCATCTCTTGGAAATAAGGTAAGCTCACCACCTCCTTTATACCCTATAAACAACTCTATATCCTTCAACAAGTTCTCATCCTCACACAAAACTTTTCTGGTTACATTAGAAGATATACATATTCCTAAGGATATTTCTTATGCCTTATTTGATAAAAATTAGAAAATTGCCATGGAAGATGAAATGCATGCCCTAGAAAAGAACAATACATAGGAGTTTGTCAATCTACCGATAGGGAAAAAATCTGTCTGCTGCAAATGAGTGTTTTCAATAAAATACAAAGTTGATGGCAAACTAGAGAGATATAAAGCAAGACTGGTGGCAAAAGGGTACACTCAAACATATGACTACCAAGAAACTTTTGCGCCTGTAGCCAAGATGAATACTGTCAAAATACTACTCTCACTAGCAGCCAAATACAATTGGCATCTAGAACAATTGGATGCGAAAAATGCATTATTGTATGGGGATATGAAAGAAGAGATATTTATGGAAATACCACCAAGGTTTAAGAAAAAATCTAAAGGTATAACAGGGTGTGCAAACTAAAAAAGGCTCTATATGGGCTCAAACAATCACCAAGGGCATGATTCGGAAGATTCTCTAAATTCATGCTCCGTAATGGGTATCGACAAAGTAAAGGGGATCATACATTATTCTTTAAACACTCAGGCTCAGGGGGAGTCACAATATTATTAGTATATGTTGATGATATTATCTTGACTAGAAATAACGAGGAGGAGAAAATTAGTTTAAGGAAAAGTCTTACTAAGGAATTTGACATCAAAGAACTTGGTAGACTAAAATACTTTTTAGGAATTGAAGTAGCTCACTCCAGCAAAGGAATATTCATTTCACAATAGAAATACATCAAATATTTTCTAAAAAAAGGGCAAACTAGCTTGTAAACCAGCACCGACACCAGTAGAACCTAATCTTAAACTGGGGGAAGCTAGAGAAGATCTATATGTAGATAAAGGGGCCTATTAGAGACTTGTAGGGAAATTGATCTACCTTTCCCACACTTGATTAGATATAGCATTTGATGTAAGCATGATCAGTCAGTTTATACAGAATTCAAAGTCTTTTCACATGCAATCAGTAGGCATGATATTGCACTACCTTAAAGGAAACCCAAGAAAAGGGATTCTCTTTAAGAGAGATCGCGGAATAATCCTAGAAGTATACACGGATGCTGACTATGCGGGATCACCTGTTGACGGAAGATCTATCTCTGGATACTACACATTTCTTGGAGGTAACCTAGTTACATGGAGAAGCAAAAAATAGAATGTGGTGGCAAGATTTAGTGCAGAGGCAGAATATCGAGCTATGGCCTTGGGAATATGTGAGCTACTATGGATCAAAATAATTCTAGAAGACTTAAAGGTCAAGTGGGATGAGCCCATAAGGCTACATTGTGACAGCAAATCTACAATCAGCATAACTCACAATCCAGTACAACATGATAGGACCAAGCACATAAAAGTGGACATACATTTTATTAAAGAAAAACTAGTCAGTGGCCTAGTAAGTCTCAATCATGTATCATCAAAAGATCAACTTGCAGACATCCTTACCAAAGGATTTGACAGTTCTGTCTTCCTCCGAATGATTGTTAAGTTGGAAATGATAGATCTATATTCTCCAGTTTGAGGGGGAGTGTTAAATCTCAGCCTTCCGTTGCGAAATTGATCCCATGACCATGAACAGTGATCCGTGGGAAACCCACCTGGATCACATTGAATACCTCCCATAACTGGACATCTGATTTAGGAATAATTTTATTTCAACAATTATTTTGTAGTTATTTGTTTCTTCATTAGACCTTTTATAGATCTATAAATAGGGAACATATTGTATAATAAAGTAAGTTTTTTCTCTTCAATTCTCTGAATGTAACATATATTACTAAACATGATTTATAGCATAATTTCTTATTAAAGATAGAGATAAAAATTAAATTATCAGAAGGATGAAGGATTATAACATCTCTTGAATCAAGGCATGATACTCTAGCATTCCTTTATGGTTTGTCCCCTCACTAACCATCCCACAACCACCCTCATGCCCAAGTGTTATAGTTGGCTGGAAGTAATAGTTAAACATGAAAATTTTAAGCTGCTTCATTTACCTTATCAAGTTATTGTCAAGTGCATGTTTTACTATCAAACGTGGAAATGAGACAGGGATATGATGGAGTGATTGCTGTATGCGTATTTTTTTTTTAAATTCCAGGTATGCCAATTTTGTCAAGAACATTCAGCAAAACCTATTTGCTTGCTGTGCGAGACATCAGAAAATCTCTGGATATGCGTCATATGTGGTTTTATTGGATGTGGAAGGTTAGCACGTTACTTTTCAATCAATCAGAATGAATTCTATGTATTGAAGTATGCCTTGCTTTATCACTGACTAATTTTGCATATATATATATGCGATCATTGTCTATAGGTATAAAGAAGGTCATGCATTTAGACATTGGAAAGATACTCAACACTGCTTTTCTCTTGATTTGGAAACACAAAGGGTTTGGGATTATGCTGGAGATAACTATGTACATAGAATTAATCAATCAAAATGTGATGATGAGGTTTTTAAGATGAAGTCCAACTGTAGAACTAATGGGGACCATTGTGAAAGTTGTGCTTTTATTGACGACTCTGAAATTAGTGCAGCTTTGTTAAGCAGCAAAGTTGAAATTGTAAGTGTTAACTTCTTAACATTAGAATGGATATTTACTTTGTTGATCATAGTTGCATTGCTCTACTTGAATAGTTTTTATTTCATGATATTTATTTTTCTTTATAGGTCATGGACGAATACAATCGCTTACTTGCCAGTGAACTTGAAAATCAAAGAGTGGTACTCACCTGTAAATGCTCTATGATTTTGCTATATTTTCTACAACTTGTGGTCTCGCTTTTTTATTTGTTTCTTGAATTAGAAACTATTGCAAAAATTGAACTACATGATCATTTTAAAACTAATTAGAATGCACCTTCCTTGATTGACTGACAGTATTACGAAACTCTACTTGAAGATGCAAAAAAGAAAAGGGAGAAAGACATTTCTGAAGATGTGGACAGAGCTGTGGGTGTAAAGATCCACGACATACAACTTGAAATTGAAAAAGCTTTTAAAGAAAAGAAGAATTTTGCTGAGGTATTGTTCCCTACTGTTCTTTCTTAGCATGAAATTTATTATGTACTTTTGTTGAATTGTTTGCTCCAACTTATAAGTTGCTGTCACAGTTATTTATTGCTTGCTTTTACATATCTATATTCTCAGATTAATGAAAATCTCTTGAAAAGTCAGAATCATTGGCGTGAGAAGATCATAGAAATTGAGCAAAGGTATCCCATTTCTTTGATAACCATTGATGTATATGTGTATATATAAACACATGCACACATGCGTATGTATTTATATGGATTAATGTTTTAAATTTTTTTCACAATGTTCTCTATTCCAGATTTAGTGATACAAATTTTTTTTCATGCAAACTGGTATATTCATGAATTCCTATAGCAAACCTATCCCACGAATGTAAGATTTAGCTCCTTCCCATCTCCTATCTGATGAGGACATCAACAGGAGATTCTGGCGTGTCTATCAGAGGAGACATCATAGATCGACGACTACGATTAGGAGTCTTTACTTGTGATGCATTTTATGTATTTCTTTTATTTATGTCTAGTTTTACCATTGTACCCCTAAGAGGGATTAGTTCGTGTTGTAGTCCAAAGGGCAATTTAGTCTTTGTGTTTTGTTCCTTGAGGCCTATATATGAAGGCCTTAGCTTTTGTATTGAGATGATGATGATTTTGAATCAAATTTTCAACACTTGTTCCTTTTATTTGTTGTGAGCTCTTGAGAGAGGAGAGAACCCTAAGAGAGGGCCAAGCAATTCCCGTCAGCCGCTGGTAGATTACGGGCTTGCGGTTTGTATCCGTTCTTATTCCTTATTCCCTATTCCCCTTTCCTCTTCCCCATTCCACTGGCTACCCCTTTCCCCCTCCCAAATTCTGGCCAAACCCTGTCCCTCCACCCAACCTGCCGGCCAACCTTCACCAAATCCCCCACTCGCCAGCCCTACTCCACCAAAACCCCTAATCGACCCCCTCCATAGCCGTCGGCCCCTCCCTAGCCCAACCCTAAGCCGACAGCCAAGCCAAACCTCCAATCCTGTTGATTCCAATTTCCGATCATCCATTTATTAATTTCCTAATTTAGAGCATTCTAATTTGAAAGGACCCTTAATTCAAAATTCAAATGAATTTGAATTTCAAAAACTTTCTAAATTAAATTAAACATATTTTGGAAGTTCCCCTAATCACTATGATCTAAAATTAATTTTGATTTAATTCGCAAATTCCACATTCAATGCATGTGGCCACATGCATCTCCCTCCTTTGGTTGCCCCCCCCCCCCCCAATCTCTCTCTCTTAATTAATTTCCTCCTATTAGTGCTCTCAATCGAAGTCCCTCCCATCAAGGTGTGCCGCCTAACCTAGCCGAATTATAGGAGATTCAAAATTATTCCCTCTTTCCCAATATTAAAATCTGAAATTTTAATTTCAGATTTTAATTTGTTTTTCCTCCACCAAGCTAAACAAAAAATCTAAAATTAAAGTGGCGCCTCTCCTAGCCTTGGCCGACCACCCTAGCTAGCCCTCCTCCTCTACTTTTTTTCTCCCTTACTTGAATCAACATCTAGGAGAAAGGACACACGATTTTTCCTGGCCTCCTTAGCCATGTATGGCCGAACCCAAGCAAGATCATGGATTCGTCTATGATAATCAAAGACTAGTGGATGTTCTTCATCCCCCCTTCTTCGACATCAACTGGGAGATTGACCAATCCGCCGAAGACTACATTGACCGGCTCTTCTTCTCATTGACTACAGCTCTTGACGAACATCAGCGTCCCGTCCAGTGGCAAATCCTCCATCGTCCACCGACCTCCTCTTTCACGGTTAACTCTTCATTGAGTAAAATTGTAAGTGCCTTGTGTATTTTGGTAGCATAGTTATTGTTGCGCAGATTATTATTTCGCTAAAGCCTTCAAGAGTGTGAGTGAGGGAAACTCAAGGTGATTGTTTTAATTGTTAACTGGTGAATTTTTGTTATTTGCGCATCTAGCTTTACTATAATTTTGATGTTATTTTAATTGTCCTTCTAATCTATTTGTAACCGCATGCCAAAACAAAACAACAACTAAGAAATCCTTGAATTTAATCTCGTGAAACATTAATTTTAAAATTGGCAAGCTTAACAAATTTTATTAAATTCCTGCAATTCCTTTTTGTTTCACATCATCTTAGTATCAGAGCATGCTAGTAGCTGCATCCTAGGATTCCACTTAGGGGTGCAAGTGAGCCGAGCTTATCGAGCTCACGAGTCGAGCTCGAGCTCTAGTTCGAGCTCGAGTTTGAGCTCGTTTGGTAAACGAGCTCGAGTTCGAGCTTGAGCCAGCTCGGCTCGTGAGCTTGCAAGCCGGCTCAAATAATTATTAAATATAAATATTAAAAAAAAATATTATGTAATTCCTGTGTATTTCAAAGTTACCGCGCAGGCGTGCTTTAAACTCAATTTTTTTTTTTATTTTTCAAATCCCGCTTATTTCAAAGTTCCTTCCCTCTCTCTCTCTCTCTCTCTCTTCTCTGACAGCGATGGGATGAGTCATAAACTTTTGTGAGTGCTCCAAAGCCAATAAATGATGATGTAAACTGTAAGTGTTTTAAACAGATGAATAATAAATGCATATTTTTCATTCATTCATTTGGCTGGCTCTCTCTCTCTCTCTATCTCTCTCTATCACTCTCTCGTTTTAAAAGATCGCGTGAGGCTAGAAGGTGAAATGTACCATGCCAGAGTTTGATGAGGGGCTCGACATGCGGCTCGAATTCATTTATAATGGGACGAGCTCGAGCTCGGTATTTGACAGTTGAGCTCGACTCGAACACCCTCCGGCTCGAGCTCGACTCAACTCGTTTGTACCCCTAATCCCACTTACGCATTTAGTAGACGTCTTAGGTTGCATCCTCCTTCCCATAAAACATATATACATTATTGTTGTGTCTGCATTAGTTACCTAATTTTGAGTCAATGGACCTCGAGCAAATTCAACGTACTTTAGACTTAATTGTAGGTCAGTTAGGAACTTTGACCCAACAGATAAGAGAAACCCAAGGCGAGTTAGCTGACTTTAGACGACAAGCTGGAGAACGTTTAGACCACACTAAAAGACTTGGGAACGAGACGATGTATACCCCTTCTAGGTCTCCTTCCCTTATAATCATGAACCCATGGAGAGATAATGACGCTCAATTACTTAATAATTTTCGTATAAATGTCCCCTCCTTTGATGGCACCCTCAACCCCCAAGTTTTTTTGGATTGGCTTAAAGGGATGGATAGTTATTTTAAGTGGTATAATATTTCGGAAGCTAGGAAGGTTAGGTTCACTAAAATGAAGCTTACTGGAAGAGTTAGTCAATATTGGACGAACCTAGAAAACATGCGTGAAGCTCGAGGTGAATACCTCATCACTGACTGGCGAGCTATGAAGCAAGAACTCAAGCAAAAATACCTCCCTCCATCCTACTATCGTAGAATTTTAGATAGATGGAATAGACTAACTCAGGGTAGTAAATCCTTGAAAGATTATATTTCTGCCTTTGATGATTACATGATTCATTGTAGTGGCGAAAAGACCACCACACTTTCTCAAATTCTATCCATGTTTAGTGTTGGCCTTAGGGAAGACCTTCGTAATGAACTTATCGCAAGAGTTAACACTCTAGAAGCCGCTTGCAGTCTTGTACTTGATTTAGAAGAATCTATGACTCAATCCCATTCTAGAAATCAAGACTCTCGTCCGCATCCTTTTAAAACTTCCTCCAGTCAACCTCAAAACAAACCTCATGCTTCTATGACTGGTCGACCCACTGTTGGTCAATCCAACCTCACCCTGACTACAATGGTAAAACTCATGAGCGTGAGGCGCCTAAAACTAACATTGGAACCAAGTGTTTTAAGTGTCATGATTATGGGCACATTACCTCACATTGTTAAAGCCCCTATAAGGTTATCATAATTGAAGAAGTTGTCGGTGATGAGGATGAATCACTGAATTGGTTCATTACATTGACGACGAGGAAGACTTCTTCTGCGAAGAGGACACCGCCATGATTCACTACTTGCAAAAGTTGGACCATATTGAACTTCAAGTTGTTAGGTGTGCCTTATCCTAACCTAAGCATGTGATGACTAGCATAGAACCTCTATCTTCCACAACTTCACCAAGATTGGTGACAAAAACTGCAAGGTCATTATCGACAGTAGAAGTTGTATTAACGCTGTCTCTTCCACCATGATTTCTAAACTTAATGTGAAAATGACCCATCACTCGAACCCTTATAAGGTTGCTTGGATCAATTTGACTGCTTTAGAAGTGAAAGATAAGAGTCTTATTCCCATTGAGTTTAGGGATACAAGAAAAAGATTTGGTGTGACGTGGTAACGATGGACGTTGGTTAAATTATTCTAGATCGCCCATGGTTATTTGACAACGATGTCCATATTTATGGGAGATCTAACACCTGCGTGTTTGAACATGACAGAAAGAAGATTAAACTTTTACCTTCCTAACCCAAGCCATCTAAAGAGGAAGTTAAGCCCACTCCTATCAAGCCCAACAAAGGCTTAAACCTCTTAACTGTAAAAGAAATAGATGCTGAACTTGTTTAAGGATCACCCATGTATGCCTTTGTAGCTAGGGAAGCAATTGTTGAAACAAAAGAACCTATCTTGGAAGAGATCAAACTACTCCTTGAAACTTTTGCTGACGTGTTCCTTGAAGATCTACCCAACCAACTTCCCCCTTTGAGGAATGTCCAACATGCCATTGACATGATACCTAGAGCCTCCTTACCCAACCTGCCTCACTATCGTATGAATCCAGAAGAGCATGCTATTTTGAAAGAGCAGGTTGACGATTTGCTCCAACAAGGATTCATTAAAGAGAGTCTAAGCCCATGTGCCGTCCCTGCAATCCCAAGAAAGATGGCTCTTGGAGAATGTGTGGATAGTCGTGCAATCAACAAATTCACAGTGAAATATCGTTTTCCCATTTTTCGTTTGGATGACATGCTAGACATGATGACTGGAGCCACCCTCTTTTATAAAATTGATCTTAAAAGCGGATATCACCAGATCCGAATCCGTTATGGTGATGAATGAAAAATTGCATTTAAGACTAAGGATGGTTTATATGAATGGATGGTCATGCCTTTTGGCCTTAGCAATGCCCCTAGCACTTTTATGAGGGTTATGACTCAAGTCCTCCGGCCT